CGCCATCTTGATTTTATTTCTCAGTATACCACAGATATTAGATTCCTTAGGGCAGACGGTAAATTGGACCAGACCACGACGAATGTTCAAGTTTAGAAGCTTCCGCAAGGCTTCGTCTACTTAGAGTTTGAGGTATTCGTCGAATAGTTCCAGCTTAACGAAACAAGTTCCGCTATTTAGCTTAGCAAAAAGATCTTCCGGCACGGGACAGAGATAACGATGCGTATCCAGAGCAGCATTAGGACCAGTGGATAGATTAAACACTGCTTCGGAATTTACCCGTGGCTTTCTTGACAGCCACAATTTGTGCGGCTCATGCAGAGTAATTAACTGGCTGAAGAATATAATCTCGCTGATTACGCTTAATTTCCTGGTCGATAGCAATAAGTGCGATATAAGGAACTGGTCGTTTCGGTCTGAATTTCATTGACTTCGGAAAGTGACCTTCATCCTGTTGCAGCAATCAAAACTGTCTTAAAAAACTGAAGCAACTTTCTCAGAAAGCATCTATCTCAGGTTCGCAGCCAGCTGAGTAGAGTTTATGGGACTCGGCCAAGTTGACCGCACACTATTGCAAATGCGGTTAAGTAGCAATCCCATGAGACCGATTTTATCGATCCAGTCAAGGCCAATTAAGTCAATCTCCGGACTGCTAATAATGTAGCATGTTTCTTTGAATTGAGTGCCATCAGATAAAACGTCACACGCAAGGTCACCCGTAAGCCGGACAACTCTTCCAGAAACATCTATGGCCTTTTTGTTCGATGTGATCATCGGAGGTCGTCCATTCATTGGCCAAGTGCGCTTGTAGACAAGGCTGATATCAGAGGCTGTGTTGAGCTGGAGGCGCACTGGCTAGCCATTGGTGTTAACCATAAGATACTGTCTCCGTACCTCGACTTCATTCTTGAACGTGGCTAGAAGCGAGTGAGATTTTAGACCAGAATAAGATGAGGGGCGTTACGGATACCTCGTCTTCCAACCGCCTGCCCATGACTTGGGAGTTTGGCCTACCCGGCAGCAATCCTTTTATGCCCATACTTATGGAATTTCTGACAAACGTGCTTCTTGGATGGAAAAACGTGGGTAAAATTCCAGTTACCACACTGCCAGAATGAGGTTGGTCGTCTTCTGGGTTTGTAGTCTTGGAGCTTATGTGAGGAAGACGACTTCGAGCAAGTTAGATCATGAACGCTCGAGGCGGCAAGCGTGGAACTGGATTGTTCCAAGATGGCAGAATCATGCTTAGGGTTCTCTAGCCGTTGGAACTCGGCTGTCAATGTTCATAAGGTAGCGTTGGGGCTCTGC